AAAGGCCACTGATTTTGTATCCTACTACTTTGCTGAAGGTGTTTATGATGCCTAGGAATTTTTGATGGAGTTTTTCAAGTCTTTTGGGTATAAGAGCATGTCATTTGCAAATAGGGATTGTTTGATTTCTTCCTTTCCTATTTGAATGCCTTTTATTTCTTCTTCCTATCTTACTTCTCTGGCTAGGAATTTCAGGACTATGTTGAATAAGAGTGGAGAGAGTGAACACCCTTGTCTCCTTCTTAACTTTAGAGGGAATAGTTTGTTTTTCCCATTTAGTATGATATTGGCTATTGGCTTGTCACATATAGCCTTTATTATATTGAGGTACAGTCCTTCTATTCCTAGCTTTATCAGAGTTTTATCATGAAAGGATGTTGAATTTTGTCAAAGGCTTTTTCTGCATCTGTTGAGATGATCACATGGTTTTTGTCTTTGCTTCTGTTAAGATGCTGTATTATATTTAATGACTTATATATGTTGAACTGTTCCCGATCCCTGGGATGAAACCAACTTGATTTTGATGTGTGATCTTTCTGATATGTTGTTGAATTTGGTTTGCCAGTATTTTTGCATCTAAGTTCATTAAAGAGTTTGGCCTATAATTCTCTTTTGTTGTTGTTGTGTCATTGCCTGATTTGGGGATGAGTGTAATGCTGACTTCATAGAATGAGTTAGGTAGTGTTCCTTCCCTTTCTATTTCATAGAAAACATTGGGTTAAAGTATTAGTTCTTCTTTAAAAGTTTGGTAGAATTAACAGTGAATCCATCAATTCCTGGACTTTTCTTTTTTGGGAGACTCTTTATGGCTGCTTTAATTTCATTGCTTGTTATCTATTTAGGCGATTTATATCCTCTTGGTTCAATTTTGGTTGGTCACATATGTCTAGAAATTTGTGGTACAATGTTCTTAAAGAGCACTAAACTATGAATTTTACCTTTAAAATTCATTTCTTGGAGGCAGTTGAAGTATGACGAGATTGAACCCCATCCCTCCCATTCCCAGACTTCATTCTTGAAGTTCTGCTCCCTGCACTGCCAGCTTTGTGTGTCCCAGATCTACCCCATCAGCCATTCAAACATGCTGTGGTATGTCCTGTGAACAAAAATGAACTCTCTCTTTATCCTGTGGTGTCTCTTGTAGTTATTGCATCACTGCTGTGTCCATTGTACACTTAACCTTCTCAGAAGAATGTGTACAATGCACTATCTTCAGAGCTTCACCTCCCAAGCACTCTTCAAACCACTCCAATCTGGCCTAGATTGGAGTGGCCCTAGAGTCACTGCACCCACCTGCCCAAGCAATTTCCTCTCTTAGCATCAATGACACGTCTTTGCTTGATTTCCTCCACCTCCCTTTCAGTCTCTTGCTTGACTCCTTCCCTACCTAGTTTTTAAATGTTGGCATGTCAATGGCTTATTCCTAACTCTCCCATTTCTTCTTTTCTCTTCTTCCCCTGCTTCCTTTATTTCAACTCTTTTCTCTAAGTGCTATATCTAGTTCCATGTCTATATTTATGTTAACAATTTCTGAATTTATGCATATAGTCCTATCTCTCTCTGAGGCCCAGACTTTTATAATTGCCTTCTTAATTTCTTGGGTCTCAAACTTAAAATGTCCAGTAGAGGTCTCCTATCATCTTATCCCCTTTCCCCAAATGAAATTACCAGTTTCTTCCCTACTTCAGTATTAGCACCACCATTGCTCAGACCATAAGTCTAGGAAAATTACTCATAGTTCTCCTTTTTCTCTCACCTCTACCATTAATTCAATCAGCAAGTCCTGTTGGTTTCTCCTCTAAAATAAATCTATCCCTTGGCACCTCTTCCACTATCTACTTGAAGCTTGGAATATAATCTTTTATTTCCACCTTCAATCCATCATCTACAAAATAATAGGGAGATCTTTTCAAAATTTGAAATAAAATCATGCTATATTCCTGTTTAAAATTCTCTAACGCACTTGGACTAATATCCAGCTTCTTACTTGACCTACCAGTTGTGCCTAGCCTGCCTCCTGCCTCCCCGACTAACCTCACTGCATGTCACTTTCTCACTTTCTTTTTCTCCTTTCTTCCTTCTCTCCTTCCTTTCTCTTTTTATTTTTGGCAGTACTAGGGATTGAACTCAAGGCCCTTCTTGTTTTAGTTATTTTTCAAATAGGGCCTCACATTTTTGGCCAGCCCAGATATAATTAGGATGACACATGTGCCTCACCATGCCCAGTTTTATTGATTGGGGTGGAGTCTCACAAACTTTTGATCCTGGCTGGCCTTGAACTGTGATGCTCCTGATCTCTGCCTCCTGAATAGCTGGGATTGCAGACATGAGCTACCTCACCCAACCTCCTAGCCTTCTTAATATTCCTTCAGTACAGCAAACTCATTCCTGCCTTAGGATCCCTGCATAGGACCCTGCATTCAGATTCTTTGAGTCCCTCTGCTTGGGCATATGTGGAATTCTTCTGATTCTTCACATTGCTGGTTTCTCATCATTTTGGTCTTAGCACAAATGTCACTTCCGTCCTAGATGCCTTCTCTTACTACCTTGTCTAATACATCCCCCTCAGTCCCACCCCATAACACATATCACTACTATATTTGTTTTTTAGTCTCTCTCCCTCTCAGACAGTAGCTCCATGAGGGCAAAAACTACTCAGCTCTTTATTATTAAAATTGACCCCAGTTCTTGATAGATATTTATGGAATGAATGGATAGCCATTATAGGAAACTATTTTTCTTTTTTTTAGAAAAATGGTTTTCCCAGAAGTTAATTCAATTATTTTCCAACAAACTTGAATATGTCAAGGAGAAAAAAGTCATGTGACTTTTTTTGTCTTTTGAAGGTAACTTAGGGATGACTCCTGGTGGGGGTGTGTGAGTGGGGGAGGGCTACCCATTTTTCTGTTCACTTAAAGAATCCTGATTGACATGATGAGGGATAATTCATCTGGGGCATCCATCAACTAGCTGTAGCCAAGCTTTTATACAATCCCATCTAGCCTTCCTTAGAAAAAGAGGAAATACTCTATGTGGATGGTCTGAGATCTGTCATTAAGTGATTTTTATTCTTATTTGGCCTAGTACAGTGACTAAGATTCTTTGGGATTTATTTCTTTGGATAATAAGTTCTTTTCACCTTCTAGAACACCGTATTAAAAATGTCGATTAAAAATGGAAATGTAACACCATTTTTAGTTTTCTCTGGATAGAGCTAACATTATAAAATTCTTCAGCTGATAAAGACATTAGTTATCAAGGCCTTCTTCCCAGATGTTTTAAAATACATTGACAACTGGGAGTAAGGCCTTGTAGGAATGGTACCTAAGAGAGGGTCCTACAGAGGGCTGGAGAGACAGGGGGCCCATGAAGTTCTAAAGATAAACTTCATCCCATCTCTAATTTTGTCCAAAGCTGCCCTTCTTTGATCCCAACGTTCCTTCTGGGCCATAACCACACAGAAATAGGACACTTCTATGCATTTTCAAGTTTTATAAGGTATAACTGTGATTCCTGAAGACTTTGAGCAGTAAATGAGCTGGTTCTTACAGGATTCAGCTCACCCCCAATGAGGGGGGTTGAATGAGGGCATGCACATGGTGAGTCTGACAGGCTCTGGGGGGGATTTGTTGACAGTAGAGGGATTCCTACTTCAATTTCAAGTTACAAGGTAGTGACTGTGTGCTGATGGCTCAGCACCTTCTTCACATGCTAAAGGAAGAGTGACAGTGACTAATAGGAGAATTTCATTATTAGATTTCCTAATCTCAAGTGAGATGCTTAGCAGCTGTACCTTTGGGGACGCTTATGCCTGACCTCTCTTGTGACACATAATTATTTTTAGCAGACTGATTTTTTTTTTATATAGGGAAATTCTGTTTAATATTAATGTCTTCTCATTTTCAATGTCTCCTTTCCTTGGTCTAATTTCCACACAATTTCCTGGCTTGAAATAAATACGTATTTGTTGCAACTGAGCTGATTTGCCATGGCTGAGAGATTGCTGGTGTTGTTTTCCCCACTCCAAATAAGGTCCTTATTGCAGTTTAGAAAACATAGAATTTCTCACTAAAATTGCATTGATAGCTTGCTGCTGCATTCCCAGCTCAGCTGGATCTCGGAAGGCCCCACTGTGACTTTTTCTTCTGCCTCATATTAGCATCAGCTGAGAATAATTTTTTAAAATCCTATTCACTTCATGTTAAAAGGGATGATTTGGCCTTAGCATGATTCTAAGAAACCTAATTGGAAGCAAAATTGCTCTCTTATTGCACGGCTCCTCACATACCCAAATGCCAATTGTGACAGTTTTGCAATCTCTCTGCTTTTAATACTATGATTTGAGGGAAAAAAATAGGAAGAGACAGGGCAATGCAAATGCCACTTGCCAATGCTGTTCTTGGCAATGGTATTTTACATTTCTTACCACAAGTGAAACCACCAATCAACAGGAAGGTTATGAAAACTCCAGGTAAGGGGAAAGGGTTTTCCCATTTACCTCTGTTTTTTTTTATTTTGTTTTTATTCTAACATGTTAATGGTTATAGTACAGATCTGAATGTTGTAGTAATCATCAATGTGATATTTTAGAAGATAGATCAAACAAGTCTTAGATACATAATTAATTTTGTCTATAAACTCATAGAGACATAGGTTATGGCTCTGATTCATTTAGTAAATAACTCAGCAAATGAATTACTGAAGCCAGACCAAGAAACTTGCTTTCTTGAGTAAAATTATCATGTTTCAAGCAACAGTTCTGGTGCCATGGAGACAGAGCCATAGAAAAATTTCTCAGGTTTGCTAAACCAAGGGACTTTCAGAATAATGAAGAAAATAAATTCCTGAAAATGACCTCTGACATCAGTATAGCTTGAAATGCACTTTCTTGATATTCTGTACCTTTTTGCCTATGTGCCCAAGACCACAGCTGAAACAAATCAGATGAATAATAGTGGCTAGGGACCAGATATGTGCTTATTTTTATCTAGGTTTTATACCTTGAATGGCAGCTCGATTCCACAGGAGAAGTGCCATTGGATACATCTTCTCTTTTTTGAGAACTTTAGCCCTTTCTAAAAAAAAAAAGAAAAGGAGACATTCCATTAAGGAGGCTTTAAATGCCTCTGTGGTGAAGTCATATGTGCATTTGTATGATTGGGGAATTGCTGAGAATTTTAACTTATCTTACTAGATTCCAAAATGAATGCTGAATTGCTTTGAGCTACTTCATACCCCATTTCTGCAAGCAGTGCATACTGAACAAGAGAAGAATCTATATCACCATTCTTATAGGCAAAGTAAGCTGTCAGGAATTTCTCAGCCCAGTGGCCTAGTTCACAGACACCTTTATAAAGCTGTACATGGGAAGAAAAATCAAGCAGACTAGTTAGTCAATATACATCATTCTAGGCAAATGATTGATTAAATCAGCCTTGATCTCCTGCTGGCTGGTCAGACAAGGATTTTAGGTCTAATGCATGACTTTTGCAAATTATTTAAGGTGAAGATTCCAAGTATATTTTCTTTTTTGTCTTGAGCAAAACTTCCTCAGTCTTATTTTAAATTTGTAAAATAAGCTTTCCTGGCTTGGAGGTTATTTGGCAGGACAAGAATGTATTGACTTCTGTTGTTTGGTGTTATTTTGTGGCTTTAAAGGACCTTTCTGGGCACTGTTGCTCTGTGAGGGCAAATTACAAGGCTACAGCTGATGTGGAAAGGAGAGAAGGAAGGGAAGACAGAGCCTGAGGATATAGGTGACATAACCATGAGGGAGTTGAGTGGCGCTTTATGAGGACAAATGTCAACTTAGCTGAATAGCCCTTATGTAACCAAAAGAGGTTAGCCATACATAATTCATTAGGAAGTTGGCAAAGGAGCAAATGTAAAGATAGATTATTAGCTGGCACCTTTTTAAGTGAGTTACAGAGGGACCAGATTGTAACCTGGAGGTATTTATATTGGTGCAGAGAGGGACATATTTAATAAATCAATGCAGGGCATTGAGGTCCTAAAAGCATTCTTTTGTAAAGTACATTACTGGCTCAGACTGCAAGAATACACTGTCAGTTGTCATCCAAATCATCAAAAACCTAAGGACCCTGCTTTCTGGGAAGAAGCAGGCCATATTTTTAGGCCAAATCAAGCCTTTCATTTCCCAAGTAGCAACTCCCAATTCCACTAGAAGTGCCAAATTGCCCTGGTGATTTGATTGAAGACTGAAACAGAGCTCCTTAACTGAAGTCTGAGGCAAACTCTGAACGTGATGAAAAGCCCAAATGCAAGAGCGGGGGAATGTTTCTCCTTCTCCTTTTCCCAATCCAAGTCACATTGCTGTTTTTCCTCTCTGCAAATGTCAACTGGAAGAAGAGAGGCAATAGCCATAAAATCAAAGACACCGAGAAGTTAAGGACAATATCACCTTCTCTGTGTGACATAGGAAAGGTATTTACCTCCACAGCAGTCCTGCATGATCTTAGCACTCCCGTTCCCTTTGCGTACATCTCAGCTAGATAATAAATGGCGAGGGGCTGTCCACTCTGAGATGCCAGGTAAAAATATTTGAAGGCAAGCTTATAATCCTTCCATACTCCAGAGCCAGCTGAAAATCAAAAAGGTTTTGAGCCACACCTTATTTATTTTATTTTTTAACATCATGTTCTATGGATATAATGATCATAGTGATGTCTGCTAGTTTAAAAAGGGTAGGAAAAGCTGACCAAAACCCAAACTGCTTACTGAGGTTATAAGTAAGAATATGGAAATGTATTATCTTGACCCATTCTGAAAACTAAAAAAGAAGAACTATGGAAATATCTCCTCAACACGGTATAATTCAAGTTAATGAAAAGGAGACCAAGTGCTGGTGGTCTCCAAGGACCAGAAGCTCCACCATGATCTCACCATCCTTGTCATCCTTCCATGCCAGGACACTAGTAGAGCTCACCCAGCCACAGCCATGGAGCATGGAGCAGGCGAATCCCAGCTCTGGGAAGACCAGCTCTGACTCAACTCATGCCTGGAGCAAGGAGAGACATTTGGTGCTGGAGTAGAGAATCAGTAGATTTCCAGCAACAGGGATTCTTGTAATGGCTTTCTCATTACTTCTCTTTTTAATTTGTGTGTATCTAGTGCTTCAACTTGCAAGAGGAGGGAGCTTTCCCTAGATTGTCTTTAAATTCTCTTCCATCTCTAACATTCCATGGCCTTTAGTGGCAATGCCAAGAAAACAAAAGCTCAGCCTAGAATGGTGGCATAAGCCTGTAATCCTTGGATGCTGAGGCAGAAGAACTGTGAGTTCAAGGCCAGCCTGGGTCTAAATAGTGCATTCTAGTGAGTTAAGGCCAGCCTGGCCTATACAGTGAGACCCTATCTTAAAAAAGAAAGAAAAGAAAGGACAGCAGGAATAAATAAAGAAAAAGGAAAAGAAAGAAAGAAAATGAAAAGAGAAAAGGAAAAAGAAAGGGCAAAAGTTCTGGGGCAGATTGCTTGAGTTTGATTCCTATCTCCACTGACTGTGACCACTAGCTGGTCTTGGACAAGCTATATGACCTCAATATGGCTCAATTTGCTTATCTGTAAACTGTGGATTACCCCCTAGACATATTGAGAGAGTTAAATAAATTGAAACATACAAAGCCTTAACATTCATAAGCCATTACTATTACTCTAATTCTAGAGGAATAAGACTATTCCTCCAGGAATCTGAGGAATTTGACAGAGTCTAAACTGAAGAAAATGCCAGCTGGCCTTTTACCTCTTTAATGATGCACTCAGCTGTTGCCCTGGATCTATCTCTGACACAAGGACTTGGCAAGGATATGTTTGGACTTCCTGGTACTTGTGCTAACTACTCCCTCTCTCAGTCCCACAGAGATTATTACAAACCTTCATGGCTTTCTGAACCCCTAACCCTAACCAATCTACCTTTGCTTTCAGAAGGCGATTTTTACCTATGAAACCATTAAGGAAGACTTTAGATTGTCTTTCTTCATTTGTCACTCTTTTATCCACCTTTCCCATATTTATATCACACCATCCTTTTCTCCCTCCTCCCAGACTTCAAGGATAAGAAGTCCCACGTACCTGTCAGGGCAAATGAGGCCTTCACTACCTGAGCCCAGTCAGGCATTAATCTCACCAACTTTATCCAGAACTTCTTTTCATTGATTATCACCATGTTTCTCACCATCTAAAGACAACTCCTTCTTGGTTCTTGTTTGCTCCTTCTTTTGGTAGAGGCACACCTTCCTCCTCACCATTAAGGCATGCTTTTAATTAATTTATTTATTTATTTTGATGGCACTGGGGGTTTGAACTCAGTGCCTCACACTTGTTATGCAGGCACTCTTACTGCTTGTGCCATTCCACCAACCTTTTTTTGTGATAGGTTTTCAAGATAGGGTCTTGTGAACTACTTGCCCAGGACTGATTTTGAACCATGATCCTCCTGATCTGTGCCTCCCAAGTAGCTAGGATTATAGGTGTGAGCCACCAGTGCCTGGCAAGGCATGCTTTTTGAAAGAATGAAAGAATATTTTCTTTTCTGTTTCTCTTTAGTGGCATGCTTTTTGAAAATATGTTTTACTCATCTATTTTCTCACTTTCCATTTACTTCCTCAACCATTGTCATCTGATTTCTACACCAACTGGTCCAATAATTTCACCAATATTCTCCATATTGCCATTCTCAAGGATACTCTTGGTCCTTTCTTATTTCTTCTTCTTCCCCTTCTCCTTCTTCCCTCCTCCTCATCTCTTACTTCTTCTCTTCTTCATCAGGCTTCTCACTGCATTTCACAGGGTTGCTACTCATTCATTGAATCTTTCTAAATAGCTCTACCCTTTTCCCCTTTGGCTCCCTTTTAGATCTTTTTTTCCCCGATTCCTCTGACCTTGCCTTTTTATTCTTCTTGGTGATCAGTCTTCTTCTGCCTATTCTTTTAAAATGGCACAAAAGATTACCAGATGTCTGACTACAGCCCACTTCACCTTTCCCTTTGCTTGGGGAGGCAGTCCTAGGTGTTGACTTTAGGGCATTGTGCTTGCTAGGCAGGCACTCAACTCCACCAGCCCTTTTTGCATTGGTTATTTTTGAGATAGGGTCTCACTTTATGCTTGGGCCAGCTCAAACTGCCATCCTCCTATTTGTGCTTCCTTGCATAGCTGGGATGACAGACATAACATCCACCACAAGTAACCATTGATTGAGATGGGGTCTTGCAAGCTTTTGCCTTGGCTAGCCTTGAAACAAGATCCTCTTGATCTCTGCCACCCAAGTAGCTAGGATTACAGGCTTAAGCCACTATGCCTAACTCACACTTACATGTTGATGTCTTTCTCTTCAACTTTGATCTTTCTTGTGAGTGTCATAGTCGCTTTTGGGTATGTGCATTGGATATCATAAGAACCTCAAACTTAATTTTGTCAAAGGTGAGCTTCCTGACTCTGAACCTCCTTTCCCCTCCCTCAACTAATGTTCTTTCTTTTAGTCTTCTTCAAATTCCTCTTCAAATTGCTGCCTGTGTGTCCTAAGCCATTCACAGCACTCCTTGATTTTTGTTATAAAAGGAGATTTACTAATGCATATATCATTCTAAATAAAGCAGCCATATTTATAGTACATACAGTAGTACATATAGCCTAACTGGAACTGTGCATTGGGCCATCCTTTCTCTGCAGCTTTCTGAAAGTATTTCAGTGCTTCGGCATAATTCTGCAAGATAATTACATTCTATTACTCAAAGCTGTATGTAGAACTCCATGGTAACAATTGCCTTCTACTTTCTCTTAAGAGTATAGTCAGTGCCCTGTAGGCTAATTAAAATAGCATCAGAAATAGAATACATTTAACTCATTATTACAGTAGATTCTGTTAAGAAATAATTATTTCATTTTAACTGTAAGTTTTCTATTTTTCTACATTGAGAGAAGGATTTGTTAGATACTGGTGAAAGGTCACTCAAAAGGCAGACTAAACTAAGAAGATAGATTTTTCTATCAATAAAATCCTCAGGGGATAGATATTTTGAAGGCCGTTTAGAATCTAGATATAATTAGAGTTGCTATTCTTGTCACAGGCTTGTTAGTCTATGTCTCTTTGGCAATGATATTACTGAATTATTTTATTTTCTATGATTAGATATAATAGTTCAGTCAACCAGGCGATAGAGACTAATTCCTATAAATTAATGAATGATCATGGATTTTTTCCCTGCAAATCCCTAGAAACACGTTGAAAGGATAATAAAATTATTTAACTTACCACAGGAACACCTTTTCCATAAAAGTGAAGAAGACCAAGTCCATGAAGACCAATTGCATTGCCCTAGGGGAATTTTAAAAATCTAAGTAAGGTCCCAGAATTCAGGATAAGGAACTAAATTCCTGCAAAAATCATTCAAGACATGCAGGAGATTACTGAAGGCAGGTTCATCAGGCAGGTTACTCTAACCTATCTTTTACACCTTTACAACCCCCTATGACTATAAAAGAGAAGAGGGGAATGAAAGTCAAAATCTTTATTCTTTCTTTCATTCAGCACTTATTAAGTTCTTGCTTTGTATGTGATTCCAGAGGTGCTGAGCAGGTTAGAGGCAAGAGGTAAAAGATGAATGAACCAGGATCCCTGCCTTAGAGAGTTTTCTGACTAGTGGGCTCTGAGCCACATCAAAGAGGTAGTGAGTCCTAACAAGAACTCAGTTGAGAGTGTTATGGGCACTCAAGAGGACATCCACCTGCCTGGTTGAAGGAGGATTTGAAAAGGACTGGGCTGTCAGGATGGTGACATTTGAACTGGGTCTCAAAGGATGTATATAAGTTTTTCAGAAAGGGAAGTCTGTAACATCAGACAGATGTTACATACTTTGGTTAAAGGAGGTTGACATAAATGGCCAAATATTTCTGAGACTCTCTGTGGATAGTAAATAGTAAAAGCATTGTCAGCATATGTTTATTCAAATTTGATTGCTTATTACATCATCAATGTTTTCTTACCCACTTAGTGCCAAATTAATTATAATTTTTCTGATTAATATTCTGAATATTCTAAGAAAGGAGTAATTAGCAATTTAATATCAGAAGACAATGCTCAACTAGCATCTGCTCAAATATACTGATATTTAGCATATAAATCCTGGATGAAGAGTGAACCTTGAAAGTGACTTCCCCAACTGGTGAATATGTAGGAAGCTAAGGATTGGCCTCTTTGTTTTCAGCAGATTTGTAGGTTTATTTTACAGGTTTATGGATTTCCTCAGGAACTTAAGTTCTGATAGAAAGCTCTCTAAATTTCTTCTTACCACCTAAATTTAATTATTGTGAATACAACCAGGGTATTCCCCAGTGACACAGAAATATCATATAAATAGTGAAGGTCTATTACAAGCACTGTTTTAAGAATCCAGACTTCAAAACTATGCATATCAGGGACCGACTATTATAAGAGTTCTTAAAGATTATCCATCTATATTTTTTCTTTTCTTTCTTTCTTTTTTTTTTTTTTTTGTAGTGCTGGAGATCAAACCAGGGCTAGGCAAGTACTTAACCATAGAGCTATATCCCATGTCCTTTCTTCTTCCCTCTTTTCTCCTGACCATGTCCATCTGTGATTTCTAGGAGTCATGGGTTACTCTGCTCTGTGAGCAGCGTGATGGATTTGGCAAAGCCTAGTGAGAGTGTCTTCTTCTAACTAGCTTCATTTGATGTGGAAAAAATGGAAGGGAATGAAAATGATAGGAGGTAAAGAGGAATGGAGAGAAAAGCAGAGACAAATTACTTTCCTTCTTTGAGAAACCAGAGGCTCATTGGATTGCTTATTTACTGTTTTAGGTGGAGAGTAGCTGTTTAGAACTTCAGGTCAGATGTGGCCAAGTCAGGCTCCATTCAGGAAATGTAAGGGGTACATTAAAGTGAGGTGATGGTAAGAGTGGAGACCAAGCATACCTGCCCTGTTTAACAGCAACAGCAGCTTCTCAGCTACTCTTCTCTAGCCAGCAATTGCCACATGGAAGGCAACAGTCCTATATGGCCAGCTTTTGCTATTTCCCCAACCCCCCCAAAAAAACCCAAAACTACATTTTTTTCCCATTATGAACAGCTAATGTGCTGACAACAAGGTTTGAGGGAGGTGCATCTCAGAAAATGATAAGAAAACCCAATCACCACACTTATGAACCACAAAACGATGTGAATGTCCAAATTTTGATATGAAGTTCATTGATTTTTAAAATACTTTCTGGGCCAAACAAACAAAACATACAACTTCTACATTAGGACTTAATGTTCTGTATTAGGTTAACTGACATGAACGTGGCGGGGTGTGGGGGTAGATGACAATTTATTTCACAAATATTTAATGAACTTGACTGTGGATTCAGACCTCGTCCTCCTTGAGTTGAGGAGACATGGCCTTCAGACAGTAGAAGAGAAACAAGAAGACAGAGGCTGCTAAATCAGTAGAGAGCTAGTGTGTGGCAAATTCAAAATGATGGAAGAGATTATGTGAGTCAGGGGCATAGGGAGGGAAAGAGGATTGAGCTCTACTCTGGGCATGAGTAGGACTTGGAATGGGGGATTCTGGGAAGGGAAGGACATGTCAAAAGTATTAAGATGGAGTTGGGTCTGCAGGGTTCAGAGAGAACCAGAAGAAAATGGTCCAATATAAGTTCAATGGCACATAATTTTTTTACTTAAATTACTTTTTACATAAACTTAAATGTAATTACTTTCTTATAACTTAAATGTTCATGAGTAAATAAAACAAAAAGAGGTTATAAAATCTGTTGCTTTGTGTCCTTGTACTTATATAGCTTTTAAACAAACTTAAAAAGCAGTATTTTTTAAGTAGTAAAATAAAATTACACAGGAGAAATCTAACAAATTGTCCAGGGAGCATGCAAGAAGTTTGTGCTCTGTCTAGGTAATGTCACTCAGAATAATTACCTTAAATGCAATTTTAGATTTCCTTCATAAGGAAAGGAAAATGAAGTTTAGAGCAGGAGAAGCCCAAATCACTGAATAGTTGGGGAGCTGAGTGAACTTACACACCCAGCTTCCTGGTAGGATTCCTTTGTTATTTGCCAGATTATAAGAGATCATCCTTCTCTGTTACCTCCTTTACCAGTCTGCTATCCCTTGTCCTCCTAATCTAATAGCACTCCAGATAACTGTCTTGCTGAGCAACAATTTCATATAAATTACAAGGGAGAGGAGCTGAGTACTAGTCTTCTCAGTAATTTGCACCACAAGAGAAGCAGCTCAGAGCAGTCATTTATAAATAGACTCCTAAGGCAGTGTACAAGCTTTTAGAAACTGAGAATGGTTGAAAATATTCCTGATTCGAATACATTTTTACCACCAGGGCTGCAGTATGAAACTGTAACATAACGAAATGCTTCCTACTGTGTGTGGGGTAGAAAGCTTATCAGGACCATTGGGCAAGGTTTGGCTGATGGGTGTTGGGATGATTGAAGGGACTCAGGGTAGTTTACTAAGTTTTATCTGACAGATTCCAGGCTCACTAAGCATAGGAACAAAGGCAAAGATTCTAACAGCAAGAGGCATATCACAGTTGTCTCTCAGTGTCTGCAGGAGGTTGTTCAAGAATCCATAAAGATATTAACATCCTCAGGTGCTCATGTCCCTTATATAGAAGGGCGCAGTGTTTGCACATTCTCCTCTACACTTTAAGTCATCTCTAGATTACTTAAAATTCCTAATCCAATATAAATGTTATGTAAATAGTTGCTACACTGTATTGTTTAGGGAATAATGACAAGGAAAAAAGTGTGAATATATCTAGCAGAGACACTATTTTTGAAAAGACATTTTTGGTTCGTGCATGATTGAATCCATGGATATAAAGCCTGGGATATGGAGGATCAACGGTTACACCTTCTGTATACTCTCTCATAGCTCTAGTCCATCCTGCTTGGATATACTTCAAGTTCACTATACCTAACTGGCCTCAAATTATTCAAAAGAGTAGTTGATACACCATACTTCCTATGTACCAGGTACTGCTGCTTTTATAATATAAGGCACATACATGCTAACTCCTTAAATCATGACAATATCAGGCAAATCTTATATTCCCATTTTACAAATAAGGAAGATGAGGCATAGAAATGTTAGCTAACTTATTCATGGCCACACAGTAAGTTGCAGAGCAGGCATTGGAGACAGGGATTCTGTCTCTAGAACTATATTTTTAATCACCTTGACCTGGCTACATCTCTGACAACTTCTCGTCTGAGTCAGTAGAACTCATCTGGCCTTTGGGTAAGACATGATTGGAGAAAATTGGACATTTCTTGGATGTCTTTGTCTTAAACTTACGGCAGTTATTGATTGAGTTTTCCCTTCCTCTGTCCTTGTCTCTTTTATTTCCTGCTGCTAAGTTAGATGGCTTCATCTACTGCACAGAGGAGAGGAAAGATGAACTTTTGGGCTTCCTGCCAGCCCATATGAAGGCAGCACAAGTCACTGCCCTTTTTTATTTACCAAAAAGACAATTTGTATCTCTCCCACCCCAAACCAGTATTTTGTTTTCAAGGATATTATATTTCCCCAGGACACAAAGCTCCTTCCTGGCCCATTATCTGGGCTTGGGACTTCGAAGTCAACTCTAATAAAAGGCAATTATTTTTATGTGTTTAGAGCAATGACTTGAGGACTTACCTTATTGGCTGCCATGGAAAAGTATTTGAAGGCAGTAGCATTATTTTGTGGTGCAGCAGCATTTCCCTCTAAATACATCTAGAGGAAGAAAAAAACTAGTTAAGGAATGTCAAAAAAAATTCTGAGGGTATGCACAAATATTTTAAAACTAGAGGTAACAATTGTACAACATTGTGCATGTAGTAAGTGCCACTGAATTGTTATGTCTTAAAATAATTTGAAGTTACTTGAATTTTACCTCATTTAAAAAAAAATAAAAATAAAAAACACAAATTAAGGATACAATGTACTACCTATGTCCTGGAGTGACCTTGATTGAGGGTGAAGACATGGACCCTATTTGTGTTTTCTCATGTTTCTTGCATCTAAATGTATGGATGTGGCATTTCTGGGAGCAGGGCACTCATTCCCCTGGTTACTAATTCATTTGGCTGCAGGGACAGCACTGTGGAGGGAGGAGAGAGTGGTCTTTGAAGGATCGAGAACAACCCTCTCTAGAGGAACCTTTACAAAGGCTGCTCGGCAACCTTATAGAAGCTCACATCAGAGAGGGCACTAGGACAGGCTTTGGTCAGGATAGAGCTGGTTCTCATTCCAGACTGGAGGAAAGAGGCACCTGATTGGGCTGAGGCCTATACCAGTCTCCAGAGCCCAACTAGCCTGGATCTCTTATTCCACACTGAGGCCAGGGGAGCTCACAGGCTCAGTGAAAGAACTGAGAAGCAGAAGACTTGTTCTTCCACTCAGTGGCAGAACCTGGGCCAGATGCATTTTTATTTTTAGTGCCTCAGATCAAGCCTAATGTCATGTGGGGCTTCTTCTTAACTCATCACTTCAAGAATACCACCCTCAGGTTGCTGCCAAATGCCCTTTGAGTTGTTGCCTTGCCAGAAGTCTGGACTCCTGTCACACCCCACACTGAGTTCATTGAACTGGTAGCATTCATTCATTTCTTAAGTTGTTTCTTTTCCCTTCGGTATGCTTGGGATTGAACCCAGGGCCTGTGCATTATTGGCAAGCACCCAGTCACTGAGCTACATTCTCAGCCTATTTCTTGGGTTTTAAAGAAATGAATGATTCAAGCCCATCCACGGATGCCAGATGTCATTTTGGGCTGGCAGAGCAGCTCAAGTGAAACAAAAAAGAAAGAAAGAGGGAGGAAGGGAGGGAAGGAAGGAAGGATGAAGAAAAAAGGAAGAAAGGAAGAGAAAGTATCGATCAATTTGAAGAATGTTTGTACCTTTCCTATAAATGCCATGGCATTTGCACTTCCAGCCTTTGCTGCCTTTAAGAAGTAGTACAATGCTTTCTGGAGAGAAAAGGAACAGTATTATTGCCAGTCACAAGTAAATCTTACAAAATGGCTTTTTGAAACAAATCTTATTCATTCTCTATATATTCAAAAATATCTATGAAATACGTACTTTGTTCAAGGCACTATTCCAAATGCTATTTCAACCATAAACCAGAAGAGTGGGAGAATACACACACACACACACACACACACACACACACACACATATATTCTGAACAGTGGGAGCTCTATATACAGATTACATATATAATTTTAGAATGTGAAGACTTGTTTCTCACATTTGGGAAGTTATGATAAGCATATGGCTTTGTAAAGAGAGATCAATCCCAGCTATAGAGCTAAACAATCCATTATTTTGAAAAAGTAGGCTTCTATGTTAACACTATGTGCTTATTTTATCAAGCACTTTGTACTGTAGTTGGCAGAATCCTAATGTTTATGAGACAGAGTAAGACCAAACACACCTGGCTTCCTGCTCAAACCTGCAGAGGTGAGCTTCAAGACAATTTCTTCTAAATCAAATTGAAGGAGGCCTGCAAATCCTCTGATTTTGTCTAGGTCATAACATTAAATCAAATGCTTAGTCTAGAATACATAAGGGCTAATCTTGTTCTTTGCTGCTATATTGACTAGGCTTCACCCTGACTTTCTAGAAAATCCTCAGGAACCACATGGAGTAACAAAAGAGATCAACACCAGGAATGACACTTGAAGATATTCTCCAAAGTATGTCTTTACAACTCTTTTGTTCTTTAAAAATTCTTGACTAGGTTGATGTACAAGGATTTGTACTTTCCCAAAGGAAGAATTGTGGGCAGTTCTTGCAGTTTTTTTATGTGGAAATTTGCTCTAGAAATATTGCCAACTTATTTGAGAGTCATATCTTTGTTACTAAAGTCAGTCTGCCTTGTTGGACATAAGTATAAATGCCACCTTGGCTGAACTTCATCAGACCATGCACCTATTCATCTATCCATCACTTTCCATCTTCATTTATCCTTTCAAAAACTTATTGAAATCTGCTATATGCATGGTAGTATGTTAGGTTTTATAGGTGATTCATAGAAGAAAACATGGCCCTTACATTTGTTCCTAACAATGGTGCCAAGAAGAAAGGAATATATGTTGATAGCAATAAGAGTGTAGGTGGTAGATGGGATAAAAATGAATGTCAAAAAGAATTAGAAGGGTATAGAGTAATAATAAAAACTATGACCATTTTTCTAATAAGTGTTTACAAGTCTTTTCTTTCCTAATTCTCACAAAATCATCACATTACAATATCTGATCCTATTTAATGACACTCAGAGTCACACAACCAGTACCAGAGTTCCGTAAACTTTGTGCATATAATTCCCATATTCTTGGCTCTCTGGCCTCATGGTATAAAGAGGAAAGTTAAAATGATAGAGGCTTCACAAAAGATGAAGGTGAGTCACCAATACAGAAATTACAAGGAAGGGAATGGAGATGAATGAGAATGTCCAAGCCATCTCTAGGAAACAGCGATTACTTTAGTATGAACAGAATAGAACATCTGGAAGCTAAGATTTGACAAAGTAAAAAGGGACTTTAGCGTTGAATACCTGGCTAAAGAATTTTCCTTTATTTGGCAGAAAGTATAATCTATTGGAATTTTGTGGGCATTGGGGAATCTTGAAGTTAAAATGTCTGGAGTAATCTGGATCAATTGGATAGGAGAATGTTATAGCAATGTATAATTTGCCAAATTAGAGGCTGTTATTATTTTTAAAAAAGCCATTTCTTATGAATGTCTCTCCTATCCAAGTACTTACCAGGCCCAAAAATGCTTAGCTTCTGATATGAAATGACAGTGGTGGTATTGCTTTAGACTTTTGTGAATACATCTTTGAGCCATAGTTGAATATGTCTCTGGGTAAGTGTGCAATCTTCAGGGTTTGGTTTCTTTTTCAGATTCTCCTCCTCTGCACTCTCAGGGGACCCTGTGCTGTCCCTATCATGGCATTTACTCTCTGATTTGTTTTATTTTGTCTCTCCCAATGTTGGATCTTCTATACTTAAGTACGTAGTATCCACCATAAATTAAGTGCTCAGAAAATACTTAAAGAATGAGAAAATAAATGAATGTTTATGAATTTCTAAAGCAAGGGAGCAGGACTTTAATCTTTATGGGATTTTCCAGCTCAAGTATTATGATTCTGTGAATCATTTTCAAAGACCAGTTTAGTAATTTGGCTCTCAATTACCTTGCAATAGAGAATTCTGAAAAAAGTTTTATTCTAGGAAAATAGAATTTGAACTTTCAAAATACAAGACTATACTCCTCAGAAGTAAATAAAATGCCTGGATTTTCCTAAATGCTTCAATAACATGATACCATAAAGCTGAAAAGAAATTGAGGCTTTCTTACACTGTACTCCACTATCATGGCTTACTTGGCATTTCAATTCTCTATCATTTCTTTTTAAATTTACCTGTCTTAATGCTATTATTTCCATTGTATAAAATGTACTAAGTACTTTTGCAAGCTACTTTGATGAATATACATCTACCAATCTGTGTTCTTGCTCTCAAAGAGGTTTGATAAGATATCCATCCATCTATCCATTTATCCATTCATCTATCCATCTATACATCCTGCAAATATTTACTGAGCACCTATCATTATATTTCACTGATTCCAAGATGTACTTCTCTCCCTATCTCATTATAATCAGGATACTTCTTACTGTCAATGGCATCTATAATTTAAATTTATATTGGCAGTTTTTTTCTTTCTCAGTAGAACATAAAACAATGGTCTATATTATGAGTGGTAGTGTTTTAGGATGAGAGATAGCATGTCCCACGCATTATGTTAACTGAAGTTTCATTTTATTTTAACTCATGTCTCCCTCTTTTTTAAAAATGAGTATGATTTTTCACTGGCTCTAAGAAAATCCCAGTTTAATCAGTTTGTAGCATTTTCCCTAGAATGAAATGCCAAGAAAATGTATCATTCTGAAAACATTTGTGCACTTCTTTTATCCCAGGCTCTGTAAATCATCCTAAAAAAGGATGGCATTAGCTTTTTCTTTTTAATGGGTATTAGGGTAGATAAGCAGTTGCCTTTACAGTCGATATTATTCCTCTGCCAGATTTAATGAAATTATGTTCTATCCACTTTAATAACATGTACCCAAATACCCTGCTTTCCTAATCCAATTCATTCTGAGCCTGTATATATTTAGAAATGCAAATGAAATTTAAATTTATGTGTACAAAAATTCAAGATAATGTGATTAAAAGTGCTATATACACTTCTCAATAATTAAGAATTTAGTCAGGAGAGAGTAAAAATGTTGCCTGTGGTGACAACTCATGAGAAAGATTAATTCAACTGGTGAGGAGAGGGAGGAAAAACTCAAGGTGCTATTTCCAGGTATTTTGATATTTAATTTGCAGGGCAGTAAACTGGGGCATCACATTTAGAAACAGACTTATAGTAATAATTTCTTTGGTGAACTGTAACAGCATACTGGCTCAAGTGGTGGTTTTCAGGTTGAGAAACAATATATAATGTTTAGGATGCTAGCATTCATTCATTCATTCAATAAATACGTAGTGGGAACTTTATCTGAATATAGGCACTATTCTGAATATAAGACTCATGGTCGTGAGTAAGACAGACAAGAGTATGCATTCCATTGTGGGGACACAGACAATAAAGATCGGTATAATTCAGGAAGTTATATGTGTTATGAGGAAATATACACAGTGTGGTAGCATATGTAAAAGAAGAATAGAGTTGATCAAAAACATCCTCTCTGAGGTGAGACTTGAAAGATCAGAAGCTGGATATGGAAAATGAACAGCAACAGTTTTTCAGAAACCAGGTTTATCCTTATCTTTGCTCTTCCCTGTGATCTCCCGCCTAGTTGACTCTGGTGCAGCTAAGCTATGGTAAATTGTAAAAATGACTACAAATCTCTGCCACTCTGCCTACTGAGAGAAGTCCACTTCCCAACACCTACAATGTTGGTGATCTGGTGAATTTCTTTGGCCAAAAGAATGTGGCAGAAGTGACTTTTGAGTTCTCCACTGAGCTCTCTAGAGACTTCTGCTCTTGTGTTTTTGGAACCTCTGATTGTCATATGAAAAGCTCCAGTCAGTTGGCTGGAGAATGAGACCACAGGAGAGAGGCCCCAATCATTCTAGCTGTCATAGATAAAGCCATTGTAAATCACAAAGCACTGACTAATGCTCCAGCTAACTGCAGATGCATGGGCAAACCTAGCTAAGCTTAACTGAGCCTGACCAAAATTGTTGACCTGCCAAAATCATGATTTAAAGAAGTGGGGCTTTTTTGTTTTGTTTTGTTTTTTGATGGGAGTAGGGTTTGAATTCAGGGTTTTGTACTTGCAAAGTAGGTCTCTACCACTTGAGCCACACCTCTAGTCCACTTTGCTCTGTTTTGTTTGGAAATGGGGTCTTGTGAACTATTTGCCCATGCTGGCCCCAAATTGCTGTCCTCTTGATCTGAGCATCTCAAGTAGCTCAGCTACAGGTGTGAGCTGCCAGCACCCAGCTAGTGTTTGTTATTCTAAGCCATTCAAGTTTGAAAGCGGTTAGCTATATAGACCAAGCTAACTGATACATAAGCTAACTAGTCTTAAAGTTTGGGATTTTTAAATGGACCCACCATGCAAGTTCAGGTTGATTAGGCTGAAGGAAGTAGAAAAGGACCAGTCAGAGCTTGCCTCAATGAGTACCTGAAACACTGGAATGGTTCTGGAATTAAACTTGCTTTCTTGGGAAATCTGGATGGGCAGCAGGAGGCCCAACCCACTATCAGAAAGTTAAATGTGAAGGAAACTGAGTGATCACATTCTTCCTTCTTCTTGCTTTGTAAGTGGTGAGACAGATTTGTATGGTGTGTGTGCGTGTGCGTGCGTGTGCGTGTGCGTGTGCGTGTGTGTGTGTAGGTAGGATACTTAAAAGGAAGTAAAGGAAAGAATACAGGTTTTGAATGCTTGAAGCCCTGAGTTCAAATTTTGATTCCAATCTTATTTTTATTTACTTGAAGCTGTGAGCCTCGAAGCAACTTACTTCATCTCTACACCCTGAGCTTCTTGTTTGTAAAATGCATTTAATAAAACCTCTGTGAATGAGCTGCTGGAGAGTCTACCTGGGGTCCTGCTGATGCCCAGCTGTCTGGCTGCTGCTACTACAAACCTAGGATCCTTCAATGCTTCCCTGGACTTTCACTTCACCCTCACCCGAGGAGACTCCAGCTCCCCTTTGGTGTTCACAGTGACTGGGCTGACTAGAGTACATGGCTTTGGGGAGGGGGGTTATTGTACTGTACAAATATTAGTGTGTTATCCTTACAGTTGAGGTTTAGGTGCCTTAACACCCAAAGTCCTTGTCTATGAAAAATGAGGAACTCTTTCCAGTTCTGCATCCTACCATTAACATGAGAACCTTATTGCAGCCTAAAATCTGATATTTGAGTGATATGAATGCAGAATATCCCATCTAAGAAGCTAACACATTCCTTATGATTAGGTTTCCAAAACCCTGAAAACCTTCAATTGATCTGTTGTGGGTTGCATATGCTTATTTAAATTGCTACTTATTTTATCACATTTTATGAAATTAACTTTGATATTTACCTGTTGTTTACTGTACCTCATGTAAAATAGAATATATGGAACCAAAGACAGATTCATAAAATAACAATATAAGCCAGGCATGGTGGTTTACATCTGTAGTTCCAGCACATGGGAGGTAGAAGCAAGGAGGAACTCGAGTTTGAGGTCAGTCTGGCTTATATAGTGAGACCTTGTCTTAAAAACACAAAAGAAAAAAACCAAATCTTTTTGGGTTGGGAGCATGGCTGAAGTGGTAGAGGGGTCACCTAGCCAGTGCAAGGACCTGAGTTCAAACCCCAACACTGCCAAAAATAAACAAACAGATAAGGAAATAACAATATAAAGTGCAATGGGAAATAATAACATCACTTTTTTGTGTAACAACCATATAAAATAGTAGCTTTCATCAGTAAACCGTTGGGATTAGGTTGAAATAGAGTTTGTGTTCCTTTGAGACAATGAGCTGGTGGCTTCTGGAAAAGGACAGGAACTGAAAAATCATCTTTTAAAAAGAACTCCAGTGGTTTCTCCATATTTGGAGTGGTTATGACAAAACCACAACAAGAACTTATCCCAGGAATGGCATCTTGCTGAGGAGGATCCTGTGTAAGTTAAGTTTATTTACTCTTTTTTCTCCACTATAAATTTGAATCATTAAGTAATACTCTAATCTTACTGGGATAAGGTAAGGTTAAACAAAATGATTAACAGAAGGTTTGTAAATTTATAAAGATGCTTAATTTATTTTTAATTGTCCTAAGAGCAGTCTGCCCTCTGATCGAGGCAAATGGGGAAGCATTTGGTGATCAAGCTGCTCAGAAAGACCTCCCAGGTGGACTTTCTGCCCCTGGTCTTGGGGGGAGGGGAATTTTCTAGGTCTGCAGGTTGGGGGGTGTTCTCCTTGCCTAACCACAGCTCTACAGTGTACAGGTGGGAAGAAGCTGGGTTATGTTGGAGCATGTGTCTCCCTGCCCCAGCTACTCCTGAGAAGTCCCTCCCACAGGTAAGAAAACACTTCCCCTGGTGAGCCTCCTTCTTCCTTAGAAGTAGGCTGTAGGGAAGCACTTTCCCTATAGCAACTCCTCCTTTCCCCTGCTTCTCTTTCCTCCCCTCCCCCACACCCTCCTCACCCATCCCAGACGCTCCACTGTCCTTCCCATCCCACATGACTGAACTTTGAGAATGACTTACGTAGTAATCCTGATCTAGACCTTTCCTCCCAATTAAATGTAATTGTCCAAGAGATACCTAGGAATGATGAGGTTTGAAAATGATTTTAGTGCAATATTAATTTAAATAAAGAAAATGCTTACTTGGTGACTTTACTATAGCATGTTGATTCAGTTTGATGTAGTTGGCAAGTTTTGAAAGAAGCAGGGAAACATTCCATACGATGTCTTTTATTGGAAAATTGGTTGCTATTGGACATATGGCTTCCTTGATGGCAGGAAGCTGGCCAGCTGGCATACCAAGGGGCTTTAACTCATGGCTTGCAAAGGGCCCACAAATACTGTCACATTCCCAACTATAAAATACTTCTAGAACCTTGTAGCAGTACAGCTGTATTAAGACCAACATCGGATGGTGCTTTCTTTCTTTTAATTAAAACCCAGGTTTTTTAAAAATAAATTTTTGGGGAAGAAATGCCAAAATAAAAATCTTGCTGCTATTATAACAACTGGCTTTCCAATAAATAGGCAAAAGAAACTAAAAGTGACATGGGACAAGACAGGAGTAGGGCAAAGAGGAGAAAGTATCTTTTCCCTTTCCCATTCAAGGTGGGGCACTGTTAAAATCTCTCCAGACTCAGAACCAAGTCCCTTGTGATTTGCATGTTCTAAGAATTCAGTCTCTTCTGAATACATTACTTGTATCTGAACATCTCCTCTTTCTGCCAAAAATTTATAGTATTGGTATATGTCCCAATCCAAAATCTCGCTGTTAGAACTCAGATTTTCAGGTCTCTCAGTTAGTCTCACTTTTTCCACTGGAATACCTTCACTTTTCTCCAATTTGTTGGCAACTGTGAATAGAAACAAGGCAAAGAACAGCTAGAGAACACAGGCTGCAAGAGTAACAGTCAACTTAGGGGAAATGCTGTTCAGTCTATTCTGCTTAAATTGTGCAGAAATATAGTCTACTGACAGAAAGGGAAGATCCATGGGAAACAGAAATTGCTGATTCTTGTGTACTTGGTTCTCAAAAAAAGTGCAAGAAACCTAGTTATTCTTTGTAATCTACATAAATATTATCACATATATCAGACACTCCTGAATATGTTGGCCAAGGAGGCTCAAGGAAAGAGATTTTAGGAACAGGCAACTGATCTCCTCTATGCTGGCTTTTTCTGGAACTGACTACAATATAAGAATAATAACTGCTCCTTAGTTATTTCTTATGGTTAGTCTGAAAATAAATATAGAGATAAATATGCTTGAATATACCAAGCAAGGTATACAGTTTGAAATATTATATATAGTAATTTCAGTTTCGTTAAGCATATAAAATGATCTTATTATATATAGCAACACAAATTCAAAAATAGTTTATTGTCTTCTCTCAGATTCCAGTATTGCCAAAGATATATATGAATATATATTTAGATGTTACTAAGAATACCTTACAGTATTCACTTCTCGGAAGGCTGTTATTTAAAACTCTATCACATGATCTGTTTTAGTGATGTTTCAAGATGAAATGTTGCATAGAACTTTGTAAGTGATTCTAGGCAAGACTGGGGATGTGGCTCAACTGGTAGAATATCCCCAGTATCAGATAAACAAACAAAATCAAACAAACAAAGGACACAGATAAGCCTCATGCTATATTTTTTGCATACAAAGTATAAGGCAGTAGAATAATAATTATAATGATTTCTTAAATAGTTCTCAATTGCAGTGATAGATAACTCTTGCATTTTATTTCATTACTTTTAACAGTCTTTTGTTTTAAATGTTAGATTGAGGGGAACTGCTTAATAGTTACTTGTGCTACATTTAGATTCTCAGTTTGAGAAATGAATATCAGCCCGGTGCTGAGCCATCTGTAATCCTAGCTATTCAAGAGAAAGAAGAGGATCAGGAAGATGATGGCTCAAAGGCAGCCCTGGGCAATTAGTTCAAGAGACCCTATCTTGAAAAAAACCCATCACAAAAAAGGGCTGGCAAAGTGGCTCAAGCAGTAAGAGTGCCTGCCTACCAAGCATTCAAACTCCATGATGCCAAAACAACAACAATAACAAAAATCATAAATAAAACAAATTTTTGGAGATTTTTACTAACAAACATAAAAGACAAGAACAACTACTTAAATCTTTTTGAAAAATAACTTAAGGAAACTGAAACTCTACATTGTGTTAAATAAAAAATTTTATTTTAGCAGATATTAATAGCACTGAACTCTATTTTCATAAATTTATATCAAGTAGCATTTTTTTAAAAATTGCTTGCCAAGTCTGTTTTTTTGTGGTGCTGGGGATCAACCTCAGGGTTTTACACATACACACTGGACTATACCCCAGCCTCAAGTCTGTTTACCTTATAACAAATGATGAGGATTACTCACTGTAATCTGCCACTTTCTTGTAATGAGTTAGGGCTACTTCACAATTCTGTAGAACATTGATTCCTGACAAATATCTGTATCCCTAAAACACAAGCATATATATTCTTAAGATACAGATAATGGCATATTTATATACATCTACTTTGGCTCAAGAATATTTAATTTACAAACCAAAATCATCTGGGACATCATGCTTCCTCCAGCACTTCCAAAGGTATAGTATATAAGTGCCTAAAATTAAAAAAATTGTATTGGTTATCCATATTTGAAACTCAAACCAACCATTGCCTGGTTTTTTTGTTTGTTTGTTTGTTTTGTTTTTATTTTGGTAGTACTGGGGCTTGAACTCAGGGCCTTGTGCTTGCTAGGGAGGTGCTCTACCACTTGAGCCACTCCACCAGCACCAACCCAACAATTGCTTTACTCTGACCCCATCAATGAACCTTGAGCTACTCCAAAATAAATTCCAAATTTCATTCTGTTAAGTGACTGTCATTTTTTGGGGAGTTAGCAGGTGTGGCATCTGTGATAAGAGCAATGTATATGATATATCATTTCATTTCATCATAATAAAACCCCTATAAAGTAGGTATTACCTGTTTTAATAAAGAACATAAAATATGAGATTTTTAAGAAACTTGTGGTAGGAGAATGTTAAATTTCTCTGTTGAGTGAGTGCTTTAAAATACCACAGTACAGTGAGCCTCTTTACTTAAAAGACTAGATTCTGCCCAGGTACACACCTGTACCTGGTACACACCAATAATCCCAGCACTTGGGAGCTGAGGCAAGAGGATCATAAATCTAGAGGCAGCCTGGACTACATAGTGAGTTCAAGGACAGCCAGGTCTACATAGTGGGACCCTGTCTCAAAAGAAAAACAATAATGATACCACCAAAATAAGAATACATTTTATTCAATGACCTTTTTAAGGAAATCAGTTTAGTTCAAAAGCAAAAAAGATAGAACTGACTTTACCTTGGCTTGATTATATTCCATTCCTATTCCATAGGAAGACAAAAATCCTAATGCCTAAAGTGCAAAAGAAAATATGAAACTAAATAAATCAATTTACCTCACAATTCTTATTTATATTGATAAGGAAAATTTTAAATGTCTGGCTCCATAATAATTTATATCATTAATTTATTACTTATGCCCTATAACAAAGAGCTGTTGTTAAGACTGTGAGAATTTGGGAAAGGTCACAATTGTGGAAGGATTATATAATATATGTGAATATAAGCAAATTCTTACTGCACTGTAGAATGAATAATAATAATAGGACATTATAAACCAGTAGTCACTATGTGTTTTTCATTCTTGGAAGTAAAAGGTTTTCCTTGATAGCTTAAAAAATTGAATTTTTATTCATATTTTAAAAATAAAATGGAATTGATGCAAAAATATTCAAGCAGTAAGAAATATATTGAATAAAAAGAGAAAGATGGCAGAATAGGAAGTCCCAGACTGCATCCCCCTACAGAGACACAAAATGTGATCCAGAAAGCTTTTATAAGATCTCCAGAAACCAATTAAGTTGTGAAGGGTGAAATACCAAGCCAAAAACAGGGCTATAAATGTCTAAGTAGATGCCTTACCACTACGATGTTTTGACCTATGATTTTTTTCAGCTTTGCGATAGTTTGAAAGCATTATGTATTCACTGGAAACTAAGCTTCAAATCTTGAATTTTGATCTTTTCCTGGGCTGGGGATAAGGGATAGATAAAATACTCTCTCAGGATACAGGGCAGCAGCAGCAAACTATAGCTCCCAGTCAGCCAACCTGATCACAAGGATGAGCCACCAGCACTCTCCAGTGTCCTGTGTTGCTACCCTATGATGTTTAGCATCATAGTTCAGGGGATGTTACTAAATGCATTTTGACTTCAGATATTTTTAACTTTTGAAGGGTTTATTAGGACATAATATCTCTCAAATTCATTTCTTCAAGCACCCTTTTACTGTGAGCTATTCTCAATTCTTGTCTGGACTATGGCAGTCACCTCTAGACTTGTTGCCCTCCTGTCCGTTCTACACCTGTTCGGTATTATACCTCTTATCTACCATTATTAAGCCCACATTTACATTTTTCATCTGGTTCACAAAAACCTCCATGAAAGACTTTGTTGAATGTCAAAATTCAATATAAATCAAACTCTGATCATTCAATCACCTCAAAAAACAAGTAATTTCTTGAAGTTTTATTACAATTTTAAGGGCAAATTTCTCTCTCTCTCTCTCTCATTGGAAATTGAACTTAGAGCCTTGAGTTTGCTGGAGTGCTCTACCACTTGAGCCATACCTCCAAGTCCATTTGCTTTTTAGTTTTTATTTTTCAGGTAGGGTCTCCTATTAACTTTGCCCAGGCTAGCCTCAACTGGCAATCCTCCTACCTTTGCTCCTTGTGTAGCTGAGATTATAGGCCTGCTGGGATTACAGGCTGGCACCACCACACTCAGCCTATATTACTTTTTAAATTAGGAAACTGACTGCAGAGTTTCCCAAAAGCATAATACCTCTACCCTGTGGCTTATAAGTATAATTTGTGTCACTTTATAATCTATACATTGAAAACTTAAAAAAAATCTATGATTCTGCAAGCTCCTCTTTAGTCTTAAAGGTTCCCTTTTATGAAAAGTTAACCATAAAGGTTATTACTGCAAATGGATGGCATCTGCAATCCTGGTACTCATCTAACCCTTGTAATGTCTATTTAAAATGGCTAAATTGGCTCTTTTTAAGGTTGATTTTAGTCAATTTTAGATTTTTTGGTTGTTCTTGCAACTCCTGGCAATTTTTTATTCTGCCCAATTTAGAATCTGGTTCAGTGAATCAGAAACTTTGACAATAAACAAATATATTGACCTTCATATAAAAAAACAAAGGTACCATTCTGTTCAGTTGAGCTTATATTTTAAGACACTTTCACCAACAGCATGTGTCATTTTGCACAGAGCCTACCACTTATTGGTTTGATCCTCCTGGAAAAATGTGAGCTCATGAAGTTGTGAAAATGATTGTGTGGGAATTAAATTCCCATTCTGTGACTGGGGAGGGGAGTGTTTCTGTATAAAGCTCAGTCTAAAAAGTGAAGACTGAAATCACTTTACCAGCCTTGAATAACCAAAGGTTATGGCTTCTTTCTCTTTAGCACAAAAATAACAATGAGTGACTTTGATTAGTTCTCTGGAGGGTGCAATTTTTACTTTATTTTTATTCCTTTATTTTGTTTAGGGCATGCCAGGGAACTAAAGGAAGCAAAAAGATGTTATGGGCTGCTATGTAGTAAAATATGCTGGTCACTGTCAGCACTGTTCCTTTCCTTTCACTTGGGCATGGGCATCTCAGAACTTGCTTTTCAGTATTCAGTCCTTTTCTGAGAATAGGGTGAGATAAAATGAGATGGATTATAGAATGATTAAATCTTCATCCAGTAAAAAGAGAAAAGCTATGAATTGAGAGAAAAGCTACATAACAGTGATGACATTGATGACACTGTCTGTGGTTTTTGAAGGTCAAGTTCTGCAAATTGGATTGTTTATAAGACCTGATTCTGCACTCAACCATTATGCTGTGATTTTTAAAGAAAGTGTTATAGTATCTGGGATTTGAATGGAAAGAGTTAAGTGAAAACAATATTTTGTTGTACTTTGAGGTAAGTTATTCAGGTTCTATAATAATAATTTAATAAATATTATTTATAATATTTAATTATTTTATTATTAATTTATAATAAAATTAATGTTTATAATTATTTTATATTATTAATATTATTTTTATAACATTTATAATTAAATAATTAAATATCCTTTTACTCTTTCTGTAAGAAATTATTAAGGGAGAAAAAAAGACTAAGCAATTTTCCTTTAATTATTGTATGAGGCTTGAAGCACCTGCAGTCACTACTTTTAGCTCAAACCATGAATGAACTCTATCTAGTGAGTAACTTACTGTCTGTATGCTTAATAAGAAAAGAACATTAACATCAAGAAGAAATGCCCTGCACCATATAATCCTAGAATTATCAAAGTGATTATTAGGTTGATACTAAAAATGATTTTTCAGTAGTAACATAGTGCTAATAACCATAGTCCTTCCATGAAACACTTCAATAATTCAAATTCAAAAGAAATGAAAAATATGTGGAAACTTTGCCATTGAAATAAAATTATTCTATAATCACAATGGCAAAACATGCAGACACTCATTTATTTATCCTTTATATATCAATTATGGTTATTTTCATAAGATAGAATGGATTTTCTTATCTTTAGTAACTGTATAACTAAAGAAGTATACACATCTAAGTTAAATAACTTTTTATAGCAAAGGTAATACATAATCATGAATAGAAAGAAAATTTATAGGAAAAACCCCAGAGAAGTATTTTTAAAAAGAAAAGAATAGCCACAAATAGTGCTGTCCTTAGAGATCACCACCACTGATTTAAATTTTAAGGCTTATACAATGTGAATGATATATTTCTTGATTCTTAAAGAAAATGAGGTTTAATCCTACTTTCCCATTTGGAAAAGTAAAAGACAAATTTTCCACTGAGAACAGTTCATCAATATCAAGAAAAGACTGAGTTTTTCTAATAATTTCTGCCTTTTAAATGAGAATCAGAGAAATAAAAATGTTATAACTAACCTATCCCTCCAGTCTGATAAAACACAGTATCTTACAGAGTATCTCCTAGGATATGACTATTTGAAATTTCCTCAGTTTCTACCATTTTCAGTGAAGATACTCTATTAATACTTCTTATTTGGAAGATTCAGATGCTTTGAAAATCAACTCAGTGGGTTGTCTTCATGATCTTAATTAATCTTATTGCCTTTCATAGCATTTCCTTTGGTTTGTTTGGATTTTTGCTAGGTGAATCATTCAAGGTGCATGAAAAGAAATAATTATGCTTCTTCTCCTCCATCTAGTTTTCCTTTATACAAAAGTCTGAAATTGAATTTCCCCCATGCCCTCAATGCCACTTTATAATGTGAATTGTTATCTTTTTTTTTGTTTTTCTTTGTTAATTTATGTCTCTGCTAGATCTTGAATACCCAGGATACTCTATCATATTTTAGTATTTTGGACTTTTTTTCCCTTCCCCCTTCCCATGGTAGGTATCCTCTTTCTCTGTCTCTATCGTTCTGATATTTTGTCATTATCATTCTGTTACATTTCTAACATCTTTAGCCACATTTCTATTGTGACACTGTCCTCACAATTTCCAGAAATATTTTCCGCAGTGCAGGTAGGATCCCTGTATCAGGCTTGTACAAATAACAGGAGAAGAAAGTCGTCACTTTGCTGGCCCTATTAGAGAGCTGAAATCAGTATGGCCTATGGTTAGCCTGGTCCCAGCAATCAGCCTGTGAACTAAGCATTGTTCATGGTATGAAACCTTTTCAACTAGCTATTTTTTACACAAGAAAATAAGTCAATTGCAAGGACTTGCTACTGGAAACAGATTTTCCTATAGTAATGACTGGGATGATAATTAAAGAATTGAATCTAGTTATAGTGCTGAAGCAGGGCCCTGGAGGATGTTAACACTGTTTGCTAGGTTATGGGGAATTTGAGGTGAAGGGAGTCTGAATGAAGAATAAAGGTGACCAGGATATCAGGGAGAGCAAAAGAGCAGAGTGGGCAAAAGATTTTAACTAACCAATATTGTAACATTTCAGTATTCAATAAATAGCATGGCCAACTTTTGCACAGCAAGTCACTGTCAGCCTTTTGGGGTGCAAGTTTGTTCTCACCCACATTCTGTTTTCTAATCCTCTTTCAGACTAAACACACATATACTAGACTCCATTGTACAGATGAGGAAAATGACACTCAAAAAGGATAAATTAGTCTGGTATGGTGGTACACACCTGTGATTCCACCTATTTGGGAGGCATAGGTAGGAGGATCAAGGTCCGAGGCTGGCCCCAGGAAAAAACAGGATACCCTATCCTAAAAATAACTAAAGCATAAAAGGGATGGAGTTGTGGCCCAAGTGTTTGAGCACCTACCCAGTAAGCACAAGGCCCTGTTTCAAATTCCAGTGCAGAGCTGAGATGTAAAGCACAGATGAATGACCCCAAAGACAAAGTTGTTGAGACTAAAACTGTTACACAACAGTATTCATTAATGTTCTTTAACATTTGCCAAGGGCTCTTGCAGATACTACATAGTTTTTATAGCAATCTTGTGAATTGTGGACATTATTATATTATCAATCTTTGTGAGTTTGGGAAATCTGAGGTTTGGAAAAGTGGATGAACAAAAGATGGAGGAGCTATTAGTCTGTAGAGACTGGAGTCAGATGATCAACCTTCTGATTTGGGAACTCCTGTTCTACTACTTCACCCTGCTACCCTGAAGCCTATAAATACATTTCCTAGAACACTGTCACAATACCTGCTTTTCTTTAAAAAGATGGCCATTACAACAAATGGCCAGCATTGTATATTTAGAGCTGTTCTTTCTGCCATTAGTTTAGCAATCAGCCAATCATTTTTCCATCTGATCCTCCTTAAAGCCAATGGCAAGCAATTGCATAAAAGGGTGGTCTATGGATATGGCATAAACACTAACCAGATGTAACTGACTACAGGTAGCCACATTAACTACAGTGACTAACTAGATGCAATAAACACATGAACTAGAGTGAAACTTTGATATCACCTCTAATCCATGTATCTTTTGTGCCATTTATGTTGTTTGAATTTCTTTCCAGGGAGTAATATTTTCACTTTGTGTCAAATGCTTTGTTTAAATCCAGACAAGTAACATCTTTAGTATTGTCTTTACCCAATACTCTGGACTGAGTATAAATGTGACTTCTTTGAAGCTTTCTCTACCTGCTCCAAGCAGAACTAAACAGTCTCTTCTATGCCCATCTTACTGTGTATTTGCCTTAACTGTAGTCTCTCTAAATTGTGCTGTAATTATTTGGTTTTAGTTCAGATTGACCCAGAAGGATTTTTAATTTTTCTCCCCATAAAGTACATTGTGTTTGGCACATATTGGTATACAAGAACAATTGTTGATTTAATTAGTTAATTTATACACTTGCTAAAAAATAAAATACATGTTCACTAGTTTGGAAAAGAATTAGATGATACCATCTTTAATGGTAATAATAATAGTAATGGTAACATTTGGTTTGTCTTGGAACTGTATATTTTTGATTAACCAAATATGGGGAATAAAGGTTTAACAATTCTCATATATTATTATAACATTTACATATCTGCTTATTGAATCATTTTATATGTAATTCAAGAGAAATTCCTTGGAGTAAATATAGTATTCAACCATATAAATTAAAATTGTATCTCTCTTTAAAATGATGATGTTGATCTACATATATTTACATGAAAAGACAACTATGATATATTTTTAAGTGAATAAAGAGCAGGTAAGGGTACAGCAAGCATGATTCTCACTAAAAATAACTCTAGTAGTCATAAGGAAAATTCTAGAAGAATAATAGGGGAAGCAGTAGTATTTATATCTTCCTGTCTAACTGAAATTTTATATCCTTTTCAACCCCCCTTTCTCTTTTTTTTAAATAATGAATAATCACAATGTTCCAGATACAGAACTGAATGGCTTCACACAATATGCCTCCTTACTGTAACTCCATTAAGTCATTCATGATTAACTAATTAATAACCTATTCAACTTATCTTTCTTGTTCCATACACTGTTCTAAGTATTAGCTATACACCAAAAAACCAGACACAGTACCCAAGGTTTTATCATTATCCTAACTCTACAGATGAAGATTAGAGAGGCTTCCCCACCCATTAGCAGTTTTCTGGACCAACTTCTTCTGGTTCAACTAAACATACAGACTCCCAGGAGTCTCATAGCCTACATTTGCTACCAGCCTAATTGCAGCACAGAAACCCACAGTATGCCAGCAGAGCAAACCCAGGCTTTCCTTTGTGTGGGGGTTCCTTGTAGCAGTCCCTAAATCCTCTAGGAGCCAACCTCTCTGATCACTCAGAAGATGACTCAGATGCAAGGAGGTGAGATCCACACTGATGGATGTGAAGGCCACCCTGATGCAAAAGCCTCATTCCCATCCAGAACACACAGTGTTCCCGTGGGAAGTTCTCCCACCAATGGGTTTTATAATTCATCATAGTTTCTCCCACTCCAAAGGCAGTTTTTCAATGAGAAGTCATTTCTGTCATAAGCAATGCTAGTTAAAAACAAAGCTAGTATTTTATTTCTATCAGATTACCTGGGGAACAGAACTAGAGTGTGAAGCAAATGTCAAATTCTCATGTAGAAGATGGGAAAAGGATTTTGTTAAATAGATTACCCAATATGCAAGGGTCACAGTGGATTCAAATTTAGGTTTGCCTGACTCCAAAGCCTAGTTTTTGCACTTTATTGGATGGAAAATTTTAAGATAATTTTATTTCTTCTTCATAATTTTCTGAATTCTCAGATTTTTTGGTACTGAGTATGAATTTCTTTTTTACTCAGAAAAAAATATTTCATTAAAATATTTTTATGACTATCACAGCATGAAAACATGCTTTTGCTATACATTGAGTGAAAATAACCAGAAACAAATGGCATATGCACTTGTACTGTAATTGGGATGATATAAAAAGACAGATACACAGAGAAATAAGCCAAGCGAAAGTACATAGCAGTCCTCACAGTAAAGTAAGCTTGTTGGCTTCTCAAGGTCCAGATTTTCTATGAAATAATCATCCTTGGAGTAAAATAAACTTAAAATAGGAAAGGAAAGAAACTCATCTTACAAAATACTTGAAATGTAAAAGTCAGCCAAATATGACACTCTAAGATAATAGTCTTAGGTTCATTTTTCTCTAGAGTGCATTCATTTGGTAAAGATGAATACATTCTATATAAAATTTAACTCTGTTAGGGGTTCAAATCATCTCAGAACATACACATGGTTATGAAAGACAGGAAGGTGGATTACAGAGCTGTTCTGTTCTGTTTCTGAAAGTCACCCATGGAGCTAGAACAATTTTCCCGGGGCTCCTGCTGCGTTGCTGCCCTTACACTACTATTTCAGTGTATTATGGTAGCCTTGCTGGATCTGGGTTCAGGCAGTAGGGTGGGAACACTATTGCTCAACAACTTTTATCTCCTATTTGTCTGTAGTTATTTAAGGATGGAGCTATTCAAGGTTTCATTTTTGTTCAAAACTCACGTTTTGGGCTCTGTATGATCCTTCTTTAGCCAAGGACTCATATAATTGGATAGCTGCTGTTATGTTTTGCATGCCAAAATTTCCAAATAGCAAAGCATCAGCCATTTTCTCCATAGCTTGCAAATTTCCCATGTCAGCTGCTTTGGCAAAAACTGTGTAGGCTCTGTTTCAAGAATATAATGTCAGAAGGTTGATTCACAAAAATGAAATTATCTGCTCCCTTCTTCATGTGACTTCTCTGTATCAAGTAGGACGTTGCTAGAATCGCCACCAATCACGCAGCTTAGCTGAAGCCCATTACGTCATTAGAACCAGTAGGTTGATTTCACCCTTAGATCAATTTAAGATTATAATTCCAAATATATCTGGCAAATAATGAAGCCACTAAAAAGAAGAAATATATAAGATATACCATGCTTCAAGCTTATATGCCAAGTGAAGTGAAACATAGAAACACTTGTCCTAAAATAATGAGTTCTCCCATGGTCACCTTCATTTACTTATAAATATTTGTTTCACAAAAAGAGTTCTGAAAAATAAGAGAAGAATCAAATTAAAATGCCCCATCTAGGAAGTTTATATCATGAGAATGATGATACACTCATATTCCAAAATAATTTCTTAAAACAGAACTATTCTTCAATACAGCAAAACTACGCTGTTTAGAAAAACAAACACTGAACAAAATTTTAATGGGTCGGGCTAGAGAGTCTGATTATCTGGGTTCAAATTCTGACTCCACCAGTTGGAAAACTTCAATCAAATTACTTAACCTCTCTGTGCTGCCTTCAGCTATGAAATGGGGATAATCTTATTTCATAGGATTGCTCTGAAGATTAAATAAGATTAATCCATATGAAAGGCTCAGCATAGTGTCTGATACAAAGTAAACCCTCAATAAACTTAACTATTATTATTAGGACCATTACGTTGATTCTAAAATTTTAAAGCATAATAATTGTTCTGTAATTAGGTGGTAAATGGTGTGAAATTTTAGTCATTAAAAATAAAGGTGTCACAGGATTGCCTATCACCACATTTTCTGAGTCTCCATCCAAAGTCACGGGGACCTGATCTGTCTGTGTAACAAATAATGATGGGGAATCTCACAAAGTCAAAGCTTGTGTCAGAGACAGAGAGTACTTTTGGAATTTACTTTTATAACTCTGCTTTTTGTTAGTAGCAAGACCAGAAAACATTAGCCTCTATCCGTGATCTTGACTCCAATACAGGAAACACACACTCACAAACTCTCTCTCTCTCTCTCTTTCACACACACACACATCTACCACTGCTTCCAACTCAGAGTGATCAGGTGACTTAATTTTATGCACAGTCTATCCATACTGATGCTAAAAGAAACTGTTCTTGGGCAAAGACTAGAGAAAATAGGTTGGGTAAAAAAGGCCTCAGACACAGAGGCATCCAGGTAGACAGTAGAGTCCAGGATGTAAAAATAGGGTCAGTATTCTAGTGGAACAAAAAGAGATAGAAAACTAGAAGTCATGAGATCACACAAAAAAATTAATCACGGTCAAAGCAAGCTTAGATTATGGAGGCTGGAGGCTGGAAGGCAACAAGGGAGAAGTTCTCAAAAGTCAGGAAAGGCAAATGTCTAGCACCCAGGTTAGGTATCAGAAAGAGAGCCTGACATTGGCTGCTGCAAGTACATAGCCTACTGGAATGAGAAGGACCAGGGCACAGAAACCTGAGGGGGCAGCAACAGGCTACAAATCCTTTTAAGTGTGTTTGATTCCTCAAGCAGGTTGATACATGTCTTCTCTGTCAGGAAAGTTCACGACTATATAAGGAATACTAGAAGCAGAATCCAGAGCTGGAGAAATTGCTTCTGGTTAGGTAATACTAAGATTTGGACTTCAATCCCCAAGAAGGAAAACGTGGGAGAAACTGGGCAGCAGGGACAGATCTTCACAATTAACTTGGTGTCTATCAGCAGTTTATCTCCAAACCTTCTCCACTGGTGGGGAATGATTCTTAATGAAGGACCAACTCTGGCTGCCACTAAGGTTTCCTGACTTCTTCAGATAGTTTGTGTTTCTCTGACAAATGCATGCATAAAATGTGGGGGCTTTTTGGTTTTGTTTTGTAGTTCTGGGGATTAAACTCTGGGCCTGGCGCTTGCTAGGCATCTGCTTTCTGGGCACTTTTAAGTCACACTTCCAGTCAACACATGTATTTTTTAAAGTAGTTTTTATTATATTTTGAATTAATATACATTGGTAATTCATTGTGGTAATTTCATACAAATATTCAGTGCACTTTGAACAAGTTCACTCCCTCAATTATATTCTCATTCCTCCTTTTCCAAACAGTGTTTGGTGGGTTTCATTATGCTGTCTTTGAACATATATATGTAGCATATTTAGATCCTTTTCCTCCATCAGTAGTATCTTTTCTTTTCCCTCTCCCTCTCCCGTTGACTCCCCTAGCATGCATATATTTTTGACAGCACTGACTTATTCAGCGATATTCTCCATTAATTCATTCAATGAATGAATGAATGAATAAATTGGTCTAGAATGTGGTTGTGAATGAACTGAAAGGATTAGTATCATTTCTATCTATGCCACACCCATCTTGGGAAATGGCAAAGGGAGGAGGAGGTAGGATAAAAGAATGAGCAGGAATGAAATATTTCGTTCTGGTCAGGAAGGCATTTTTGCCTTCAGCTTCTTGGATTATAGACATGACTAGCTTAAGGAGAGCATGAGCCATCCTAACAACCCAAGGGGCTTTGTCCAGATTTCCCACAATCTCCTGGGATGTCTTGCTATGAGCAGATTTGGTTTCAGTTCTTCATTGCTACCAACTCAGAAGGGTCAGGAGACTCAGAGTTAGGTACCCTCTACCTATAGATGCTACTATGAAAACAAGCTGCTCTTCCATCATTCCTAGGCAAGGACATCAGAACAGTCTGGGCAAAAATGGGCTGGTGTAAAGGTTTCTGTGCTGATGAATGCTTTGTTATTAGGACTGAGGTTTCTGTCTGATCTTTAAGCTAATGGGGAAGTTTCCCTTCAAGGGTGAGTGGATCATTACTTGGGGCCTCCAAAGAGTGATTTTGTCCCATCATATTGAATCTAGGGCTCCCCTGGACTTGATAGGGCATACTTGTTGGATTTCTCATCTCCTTGTGTTCCCCTGTAGTAGGCGGAGGTCATCTGAAACCTCAGGAACCAGCCCCTTCTAAGAACTCCAATGTTCTTGCATCTAGGTAGGCTGGGTGGAAATTTCCAATTTTTACTCATCCACTCAGTGGGTGCCTTAGTGAAATGAATTCCCTATTAAAATTGATCATATTTGGGGGTCTGATTTTACACTATTGTCATGACAGCCCCCAACGATGTTCAGCAGGAAGCCCATGTTTTGCCAAGATGTTCTTTGTATCTTGTAAAGAGCTTCTGATTCACCTTCTCCTGGAGAGAGGAACAACTTTCTTATCACCTTGGAAGAACTATAGAATCTTTCTTATGCTCCATTTCCTCATTTGTAATTTGGGGATCATAACCTATATCTCACAGTATCATTGTGAGCAGAGAATATTACGTGTGTAAAATTCTTAGAAAAATAACTAGCACAAAGTAGGTGATTGTTAAGTGGAAATTGATGATGTTATAACCAGATTACCGTTGGCTCTGTCTAGGGTTGCCTACCACAGCTCTGGGATGCTTCTGCAGGGCTGGTGTGCCTATTCTGTGTGAAAAAAGAGATGTTTTCTTGTTGAGGAGTCAGCGCTCATTCCTTCTATTATTGGTTTAAAGCACCCTTGCCTCCATATCTTCTACCTATCTATTATAGGACTAATGATAAGAATAACCAACACTTATCTCCTAATGACTGTGACTGTTTTAAGAGTTGATTGTATTGTCCAGAACACAAAGAAGTGTAGGACTACACATTCAGTAAATGATAAAGCTAAGATTTGATCCCAAGGTCTTAGTTAGGACTTTAAAGGGTGACTCTGAGTTGTGTGGGGAAAAGGGAGTGGAGAAAAGATATTTCCCTTTAGACCAGGTAGACAAGTGAAAAGAGAAGGAGTGGATGTGGAGTGAGACTGTGTGACCACAGCTAGTTCGGCTCCCAGCTGTGTGTCTTTGGTCATTTCCCTTGAAAAACCCTTGACTCTGTTCCCAGTTTTTTTAAAGGGAAAAAATGAAGCACTTTTTACCTTAAAGATTCATCTGGTAAGAAAGCAGAAATTCAGGAAAGTGCCTTGAAAGCCATAAGGTACTGTACAACTGCTCAGTTAGGCAGAAAAAAACCATGCTAAAAGAGCAACCACCCTGATTCAAATAACACATTTTATTTCACTTGAAATATCCAATAAATTGAAGACAAAACAACATTTTTTGCTTGAATGCTCAGATCAGTGACTCAATTCTGCATTTCACTTAATGTAAAGGAACCCCAATCTACTCTATGTTAGGGTGGTAATTGAAGGATTCTTTGAACACCATTTGGTCCTTTTAAAAGCAAAATCTTCTGCACAAATAAGCTTATTTGTTATCACAATAAGTGTTCAGTGATAAACTAGATTTTGGGTTGTCCATTTTCTTTTTTTTTTTTTGGTGGTGGTACTGGGGTTTGAACTCAAGGCTTAGCACTTGTAATGCAGGCACTCTACCATTTGAGCCACACCACCAGCTCTTGTCTGTTTTTCTTAACCTAGAAAATTAACTTGGTTAAGGTAATGAAATGCTTACTCTGTTTTTTGCTTTTGGCTTTTAGACTCCTGGAGAATCTTGATGCCCATCTTAAATAGCTCATCTCCTTCATCTGTGACATTTTTCTTGGCTTGCGTTTCTACTACATGTGGACAAAGAAAAAACATTATTTCTATGTTCTCTCTCTCTCTTTAAAAAAAAAAAACAACAATGTGCTAATATTGTGCTGGTATTGTTAGTTTAAGTTTTGCTCTTAGTTTTTTAACATTTGCATTTCTAAAGATTCCTGGTATTATACCTTAGCTCAGTGGCATTGTTAGGAGAGAGGCAGAAGTTGCCTAGAAAAATGTAGCTTCTGAGCTGGTGGTGTGGCTCAAGTGATAGAGCACCTGCCTAGCAAGTGCAGGGTCCTGAGTTCAAACTCCATATCATGAAAAAGAAAATAAACAAGGACAACAACCCAAAACAATCGTAACTTCTTCTATGTTTTGTGAAAGAGTCTGGAGGATGGAAGAAAGATGCTTCTGATGGCAGGAGGGAGAGAGGGGTTCCCAGCCTAGGAAAGGGATCTAAGGTTTTACAAGCAGAAGGCAAGGGATGACTGATAGACCCTAGAGGCAGGATCTTAAGTATCAGGTTCTCAGCCCAGGCTGTCAAAGCTGGTAGGAGGAAGTCAGATTTGCAGCTCTTCCCCACCCCCTAACACACAAACACACAGAGCCTTTCACAACTTCACAGTGCCTCTTCAAGTCCATTTACAACAGTGAAATCTCTGATTAGGAAGACAGCTCCTGGAGTCATTTCAAAGGAAAGGCATCCGGGATTTGAGGCCTCATTAACAAGACCACAAAGAACTGTAAGTGGCTCTTATTTTTCTTCTTCCTGACAAGCTATTAGAGTTGTCCCCTCTCCTTTTTTTTAAATAAAAAAAAATGAACTAAAAGCCAATTTAAAATTATTTTGAATGTTTCAAGTTGTTCAATCAATTTAGAAGTACCAGACATTTTAGCATCTAATTTCTGCTTTGAATTACATGTTCTCTATGTTCATGATCAAAAGGGGAAAAATAATGGGAAAACCCTACTAATCTGTGTGTGGACTCACAATTGCTCCCATTAACTTGTATAAGAATAAATTTTGAAAGTTAGACTAGGTGTGTTTATACAACTGAGAATGACTTAATATTGCAAATTTCTACCCAAGACTTTTGCTTTCATTTGTAATTTTTTTGGGGGGACTGTATATCAGGATTTGAACTCAGTGCTTTGTTCAGTTACTCTACCACTTGAGCCATATACCCCCAGCCCTTTTTGCTATAGGTATTTTTTGAGTACAGTCTTGCTTTTTCTGCCTGGGCTAGCCAGGACTGCTATCCTTCTACTTATGCTTCCAGTATAACTGGGATGACAGGTACATGCCACCAGGCCCAGCTATTAGTTGATATAGCTGAGTATGCCTGAGTTGGCCTCAAAGAGAAACGCTTCTGATCTCTGCCTCCCAAGTAGCTAGGATTGTAGGAGTGAAACACTGCATCAGGCTTTTTATTTGTAATTCTTGTGTTTTATTTTTTTGTGTTTTGCTTCCCAAGCATATTGAAATACACATTTTTTCTTTTTTTTTCTCTCAAAGCAATTTTATTAGCATACATTAGTTGTACAGGGGGTGTTCATTGTGGCCTTTCTGAATAAGATTACATTGTACATTGGTTAGGTTCATCTTCACCGACTCTCTCCCTCATCCTCCCTCCTCCTTTACTTAAAACGATTGCAAAAGATTTCATTGTTCTATTTCATATATGTATATAAAGTACATTGGCTATATTCACTCTCCTTTATCTCCTCCATTCACCCTCCCCTTGTCTACAAATACCCACTCTCTCACAGGACCTATTTTATAGTCCTGTCCTTCATTTTTAATTCCTAAATCAATGTTCAAAGGGGTTTCTTGATATATCATAGTTGTGAGTATATTGTCAATTCAACCCCCTCTATTCCTCTCCCTTCCCCTTTCCCTCCTACCCCCATTATTCAGCAGCTTTCAGTATGTTTCCTTATGTCATCTATCTACACCGATATAATGTATTTCAATATTGTTAAGTGTCATTCTCTTTTCCTCTCCCTCCTCTCTTGAGTTCCATTACAAACATGGTCTGTACATAAATGTATATATGATCATGTTTAGTATTGTGTATATGCTTATCTATGGGCTCTATCTTCTACATATGAGAGAAAACATGTGGCCTTTGTCTTTCTGAACCCAACTTACTTCATTTAACATGATGTTCTCTAATTTCATCCATTTACCTATAATTCCATTGTTCTTTATGACTGAGTAGTACTCCACTGTGCATATATATCACATTTTTGTAATCCATTCATCATTTTAGGGCATCTGGGCTGTTTCCATAGCTTGGCTATTGTGAATAGTGCTGCAATAAACGTGGGTGTGCCAATGTGTCTATTGTATCCTGACTTAAATTCCTTAAGGTGTATGCCCAAGAGTGGTATCACTGGATTGTATGGCTCTAATTGCTGAGCCATTGGCTATGAAGATGAGGGTTGAGTGAGGTGGTTGGTTATGTGATCCAGGATGGCTATGGAAAGGCTATTGAGGAATTTGGAGGGTTTGGGAGGGAAAACAAGAGGTCATTGTGGAGATAAAGGCAGGTATGTTAGCAGAAAGAGGAAGTTGGCTGTCCTTAGAGTTTGAAATTATATTGGTGAAATAGCTCTGCATGTGGTTGCTAGTGAGCAGCCAAAGATGATTGGAATTGAGAAGATCTAGGAAATAAGGCAAGGTTTTCAACAGACTATTTAACCTCTAGGGTGGCTGGAGGTGGTCTACAGTCAGTCACTAACTGAGCAGGTGAGTTAAGGGGTGTAAGAGCCCAGGGGCTGTGTCTATGGGAAGAAATATTTCTCTACCACAATTTATTCTTCAAAGCTCTAATTGCTGAACCCCTAGCTTTGCTCTATTCTTCCTTTGCCCTGTTGGGTCTAGGAACCTAAAGGACAGATGAGTGAGTCAGTATCCCATCCCATCCCATCTTAGGGTGCAGATGAGTGAGCCCTGCACCCTGAGAAGGAGTTATAAATCTGTATTCTTGCACCCTGAGGAGGAGATACAGGGTCTCACAAATCTGCCATGGGGCTGATAAACAAAATGGTCTCAAGGTTGATCCCCACCCCCCAAATAAGGGGCAAACAGACCAACTCATTTAAGAGAGCCCGTGCGTGCAAATCCCTGGCCAATAGAAAAAACCTACCTAATGGATACCCTAACCCAGAGTTAAAGCATCCATAAAAAGCCCCAGCCTTCAGCCAGCAGGGAGCCACTGGTTTCTGGGATCTGCTGCACTGATCTAGCTGTAGCCATTCCTTTTTTTTTTTCTAATAAATCCTACTTCTGCACCAGCCTTGGCTCCCAAGTCCATCAGCTGCCTCACAAGCCAGTTCTCTGTTCTGTGACGGCAAGGACCCTAGACACCAGCCTATAACATTTCACACCAGCAAGCAACAGCCTTATCCTATATTCCTTACTTTCTTTCATGTTTAACCACAAAATCTAAAATCTTAACATTCAAAGTAAAAATAAATATTCTCTAAATTGCCTAGAAAAATAAAAATAAAAAAATAATAAATTCATTATTCCCATCTCAAGTTATGTTTACATCAAGAACTATGTAGAGGATCATTAAGAATGAAAGGAATTCAGAAATGAGCAAGATGAGTGTCTCTGAGTCTGACTAAAAATCAGGTGCATATACAAGATCTTACAAAGACATAAAAGTGGAGAAGTCTTTCCCCCTGCAGCAAAAATTGCCATACACAGACCATTGTACCCTTCTTATCTAATTTCAATTATACTTAATATAAAACACATTCAGCTTCTGATTTTCTGAATATTGCATTGGAAGAGCTCTTTTTTGTGCCAAGGAACTATAGTACTGTACAACAAGGGAAAATAATGACTCATTACTAAAAATAACGGTTCATCTAAGAAAAAATGGCTCAGCAAACATTTTAGTCGGATAAAGATGTGATCAATTCAAATACACTTGAATATGAACACAGATTACAACAATCAAGTTCGTTCTCACTGTCTCCAGTTCATTGCTGTCACATGTAAATATCTCCAGTGGTATTGCTAGGAGCTGGTAGATAAATTGTATTATAAATAGAAAAAAATACCCTCTTCATACATGTACTAAGCAAAACTTGAAGTAACAGGAATTCTGCCTTAAAAAATTTAATTAATTGTCTAAAACTCTCAAATAGCAAAACAAAAACAACATACATTATGTTATAATAGGAGCTAGTAAGGTGCCAGGCAATTGGGTACAAGGCAGTTTTCAGTGCTTAAATTTCTCACTGACTATAAGATGAGGTGATGTTGGCACAGAGAGGTTAAGTAACTTGCCCAAGGTCATAAGTTGGTATCCTGGAGATGACAATTTACATCTAGGCAGTCTAACTTACATTTGTGCTCATACTACTCTTATTGTTTCAAGGTAAAAGTTTTGGTATACTTCAGGTACATCATTTTAGGTTTTTGTAGTCAGAGTTGCTTCCTACTGGATTAATCACCATTTTATTAAAGTAGAAAGATGTTTGTTTTCTTTTAAAGTCAATTCATTGAATATAATTATGTGTTTATTTGAAGAAAAACTTTCATTAAAAGAACAGGAAAGATATTAAGTTGAGCAGGTTGGGTTTCTTGATGTGGGCTTTGAGAGTTGTGGTATTTAAGAGGTATCTTTGGATGACTTGAGTCTTGCTTGTTTCTTGCTCTCAGAATTGTGTCCAGCCCCTGCCTTAAAGAGGGCAGATGAGAAAAAAGTCGCCCCAGTATGAAATTAACACTATCTGGAGGAGTTTAATTTGTAATGCTGAGGTCTAGTTCCCTCAAGCCAGGATGATTTTTCTCTTCCACCCTTCCCCACAGCACAGCGGCCCCTTCCAGAAACACACATAGTGACTTCTACTCAATAAATTACTGTTCACACTGCACAGACATAAGCCTACCCAATGTCTCTGGATATAACTCCTCAAGTTCAAGAGAGAAGAGAGGTCTTTCTAGGGCATGGTCCAAGAGACACCCACTCTTAGCTCCCAATCCTCCTCCAATGAAGAGCCCTTGGGA